ATTGTATATTGTATATAAAATTATTTGTTTTGTTTTAATGAAATGAGTAAAAAAATGCAATTGAATTGAAAACAGTTTTATTGTTTCTATTTTTGTTAATGTACTCAGTGCAGTTTTTTCTCAACAGTGAGTAGTCGACTTTACTTCTCTTTTTATTAAAGTCAAATAATTAGATTTTTAGTAAAGGTTTTCTTTTTTGTAACGGATTTGCTAAATTGTGATCTAATGTGTCTTTAAGGAATGGTAAAGGAAAAGTTGTGAGTAATGTAAGGCAAGAAATAAAGGCTAATGATGTGTATTTCTAAATTTGATCTTCTTTCTTTGTCAGGGTATGCTCTGAATGCTACATAAAATGTAATTTAATAAGAAAACTTTTTTCCAGTAAATGACAGAAATTGGCCCTTGTTTTGAATGTTGACCCTGTTGTGTAACTGAGTCTGACACTCCAGTGTTAAAGGATATCTGTGAGCTACAATCTTCTGTTTCTGTGAACCTATAGTCTCACTTTAAAATAATCAATGTGTTTTGTCCTGGAGGCTGCTGATACTGAAACTTGAATGTGTAATTTTATCAGCACTGGAGGAAACTGTCTCAGAACAACAGCAGAGCTACACTTTCGCTCGGAGTAACATTTATGGTGATTTACTTTATTTGAAGAGCTAAAGGCAGCATGTTTGTCTTCTCAGGAGATCTTCCGAGTCCTCGGCCCGGCTACCAGCTTCCAGAGCCCAACGGCTGCAGCTCCTCTCTGGTGGGATTCCAGGTGAATGCAGCTGTAGGTGTCCTCTTTACAGCACCAACAGCTCAGAACGTGAATTTTTCATCTGTTTTCATAGTGTCTGTTAGTGTGGAGCCCGTAAGGGACATGTGGAAAAATAAAATAAATAAATAAATGAACCTGAATTACTTTTGCAAGATCTTGCAAAAGTTTCTCATGATCCTGTAAAACTTTCTCAGGATCCTACAAAAGTTTCTAAGGGTCTTTAGGGTCCAGCAAAGGTTTCTCAGGATCTTTAGGATCCTGCAAAAGTTTCTAAGGATCTTTAAGGTTCTGCAAAGGTTTCTCAGGATCTTTAGGATCCTGCAAAAGTTTCTAAGGATCTTTAAGGTTCTGCAAAAGTTTCTAAGGATCTTTAAGGTTCTGCAAAAGCTTCTAAGGATCTTTAAGGTTCTGCAAAAGTTTCTANTTCTGCAACGGTTTCTCAGGATCCTGCACAAGTTTCTCGGGATCCTGCAAAAACTTTCTCAGGATCCTGCACGTTTCTTAGGATCCTAAACAAGTTTCATAGGATCCTGCAAAAATGTATCAGGATCCTGCTAAAGTTTCTCAGGATCCTGAGAAAGTTTTGCAGGATCTCGCAAATAGGAATAATATTGTATCTCTCTTGGCAGTTTGACATGGGAATCCCAGCCATGACAAAGTGCTGCAACCAGCTGGACGTTTGCTACGACACCTGCGGCCTGAACAAGTACGACTGTGATGCCAAGTTTCACTCCTGTCTGCTGGACATCTGCTCCAACCTCAAGAACAGCTTAGGGTTTGTGTCCAAAGTGCAAGGTGAGGGTTTCTACTCTGATCTTCAGGGTTTACGATTGATTTGATTTGATTTGATTTAT